TTTAGCAACAAAAACGCAGCCAAACCACAGAAAATTGAACTATATGGAAGTCTGACAACAATGACCCGTCAGCCATACCGATAAGAGGGGCAGAGCCAGCAGTGCAGCATGGTTGGGCAGGAAAGATCCACCGGACCAACCTGGGGACACAACCCAGGCGCACAGGCAGCCGATGGCGGATCCCAGGTGTGGAGTAGTGGGCGGACCCACTAAGGGATGACCATGGTCACATAATCGTGCGCAGATAAACTGGTGAAGGAGCGAGCGATGAGACAGACCCCAGTGGCGAGAAGCGGCAGAGGGGACTTCTATTGTCCCTCTCTGACCCACCCCCACATACAGCATCACAAACCAGCGACCTGGGTGGCCCCACCCTGGTGAACATCTAAGGCTCCCCTCCTCATAAATAACAGGCACGAATAGATCAAAACATAGCTCAAGAACAACTCAGAGCCCCAGAGCCGATAAATCTAAGTGATGAAGAAACAGCCAAACTTTCAGATGCACAGTTCAAAACACTGGTGATCAGGATCCACACAGAACTGGTTGATTATAGTCACAAATTAGAGGAACATGTGAAGGCTAAACTAATTGAAATGAATGGAAATGCATAGGAAACCAATAGTAATGGAAAGGAAACTGGGAATCAAAGCAAAGGAGTGGACCTGAGAGAGGAAAAAAAGGACCAAACAGAGAAGGATGAAGTAACAAGAATTCAAAAAAATGAGGAGAGGCTTAGGGACCTCCACAACATCTTTAAATGCTCCAACATCCGAATGATAGGGGTACCAGAAGAGGAAGAGGAACAGCAACAAGTGGGAACCTTATTTGAACAAATAATAAAGGAGAACTTCCCCATTCTGGCAAAGGTAATAGACTTCCAGGAAATCCAGGAAGCTCAGAGAGTCCCAAAGAAGGTGGAACCAAGGAAAAACACACCAAGGCACATCATAATTACATTACCCAAGATTAAAATGAAAAAGAGAATCCTAGAAGCAGCAAAAGATAAGGGGACAGTCACCTACAAAGGAGTTCCCATCAGACTGTCAGCGGATTTCTCAAAAGAGACCTTGCAGGCAAGAAGGGGCTGGAAAGAAATATTCCAAGTCATGAAATCCAAAGACCTACATCCAAGATTGCTCTATCCAGCAAAGCTTTCATTTACAATGGAAGGGCAGAAAAAGTGTTTCTCAGATAAGATCAAATTCAAGGAGTTCATCATCACCAAGCCCTTACTATATAAAATGTTAAAGGGACTTACCTAAGAAAAAGAAGATAAAAAAGATGAACAGTGAAAGGATGGCAAATTCACAGTTATTAAGAACCACACCTAAAACAAAAGCAAACTAAGAGGACAGCTAAATCAGGGGCAGAACCATAGAAATGAAGATCATATGGAGGGTTAGCAAAAGGGGAGTGGGAGAAGGAGAAGGCGGGAGAAGGTACAGAAAATAAGTAGCATAGACATTAGGTAGAAAATAGATAGGAGGAAGGGCAAGAATTGTAGGGGAAATATAGAATCTAAAGAATTTGAGACACATGGTCATAAACTAAAAGGGGGAAATGGTGGGGGAGGGGTGTGCAGGGTAGAGGAGAATGAAGGGGGGAATAGAACAACTTTAATGGCATAATCAATAAAATATATTTAAAAAAAGAAAGAATCGCCAATGGATGTTAAATATAGTAGCTGAATGCTAATAAGGAAAAAGTTATGTTTATTTATCATAAAAATATCTACTCAAATGATACCTACTAATAACCAGGTTAAAATATTAACTTCAAAACAATAGTAACTTTATAAGAGGACCTGGCAGATTCCACCATATTCCATTGATCTATGACTCAAACACTAATGAAGGGAGAAATTAATATTATATGTCTTCTAATAACATGCATTGTGGTATACCAGGTGAAAATCTAAGCCTGAAACATACATACATTAATACCTGCATGCACATAGAAGGTAAACACAGAAAAACATTAACCATTGGAGAATCAGGGTAGGGCCTTTCCAGGAATCCTTGACATCAGTTTTATAACATTTCTGTATCTTTAAAATCATTTCCTAATTAAAAGTTGAAAAGTCCTTTGTCCCAGCTGGCACATGCCCAGGAAGAAAAAAATCCAGGCATCACTGGAATCAGGGACACTGTCCCCTAGGACTCTAGTCCTTCTGGTTCTTGGATACCCAGCTCCCCAAAGGGCAGGCAGAATTAGCCAGAAGCTTGGGGACTGGGTGTCAGTCTCTCATTAGTAGGGTTATCTGTTGAGTCATTTCTCTGGGTCTGATTAAACAAAATGAAAGTCTGCTGAAGTGCCAAGCCCCAGATGTTTCTTCTATTTGTGTCAATGTTAGGACTCCTGAGGAAAACCTGAGGAGCTGGGCAACAGTCTGGAGCAGAAGGTGTCCCAACTCACCAAAGATGAGCACAGGTCAGAGGAGCTGGATGTCTGTACAGATGGACAGATCTGCCTGTGTGATGGTTGATTCATGGATGAGATTTTAAGTTCATGACTGTGCATGTGTCTCTGTGTGTCTTCAGGTATTGTATATGCTTGTGTACATTCTGATTGATAGTTGCATTTGTTTGCACACGTGTGTGCACAGGTATCTGAGTCACAGCCTGACTCTTCCTGGGGTACACCTAACCTGGCCCCATTCTGACCCTTGTATACCAAGTTATCAGCCTCTTGCCTATGATTAGGGACTCCTGATTCATGCCTGTGATTGAAAGTATTTGCATGACAGCTGAGCATCAGAGGTGACATTGTTGGCTCTGGTGCTAGACAAAAAGATGCCTGACCTCAGAGGAGCCAAGGTCAGGTCAGAGAAGGGTCATGTCTCTGCTCAGCAGCATGTGCTGGTGCATGTGGAGCTGTGTCTGAGGGTGACACACTGCTGTGTGAGAGCAGAAAGCTATATTATTTAGTTTTCTCTGTATATTGGCCTGTGTGACCGTGTGCATGGAATTGTGGTTTACCATGTGCACACCATGTGGTGGTGGTTTAATGAGTGCACCTGTGACTGAATAGGCTAACCTGCCCCAGGCTGATGGCCTTCCCTCAGGAAGGGGATGGGTCAGAAGGGCAGAGCGTGCCCTCATGTTGAATAGGAGGCTGTGTGCTGCTTGTGTGGTGAGTGTGTGTCTGGGTGTGCATATGAGCTGTTCATGTGTGTTTCTTGTGAGATTTTTTTCTGTGGCCTTCTGTGTTTTAGGTGATGTATGTGTAGTGTTAGTGTGTATGTGGTGAGCTGTTTACTGGGTGTGTCATGAGTCAGTTATGTTGATGTGCATTGTGAGTGTGTTTGCAGGTGACTGGTCCATCAATGTGTGTTGTGTGTGTCTCATTTGTAGGTTTCAGATGACTTGTATGTGTGTGCATGTATATTTATGAGATCTCCTCTTAGGGTGGCAACTTGGTAACAGGTAAGTAATATTCACAAATCAGCACTGTTTGTGTGTGATCTCCATCAATGACCTCAATTTTTCTTTAAGTGTGCTCATTCTGGGGCACCATTAATTGAGAGAACCCAACTCCAAAACACGTCCTGTGTCTGGAAACAGACCCAATGTCATATTCATGTTCCTGAGTGTAGTCACTCAGAATTTGCAACTCTTTATTTTTACTAAACATCCCAGGCAAAAGAAAATCCAGGCATCCAGCTGTGAGAAGTTATTGGTCAGAATGACCTTCAAATAGTGGTGACCTTGGAATGTTATTTAAATCCTTGGTCTCAGTTTACATCTACAAAATGGAAAGAACTGCACATCCTTGTGAATCTTAGAGAGGCCTTCAGTAATTGTTTATTGTATAAAAATTTGTATGTATTGGAGAATTTTTCTCACTTGGAATGTATATAAATGTGAAGGAACAAAACCAGTAAGGAGACTGAGAAAATTTTGACGTATTTGGATCCTTACAGCTCTAAAATAATATATCGTGCTTGACTCCCCAGCCAACAAATAGGAAGTTTCCATGTGAAGAAGTTTAGAGCATGGGTGCTGATTACACGGATGTATTACACTGAGCCCCATGAAGCAGCTAATACATGGTAATTGTCATGTATAGAAAATGATAACACATGTATGTCATTTATATACTATATATCGCATAAAATATAAACACAGATACACACATCTGTGTACCATTCTGCCCGCCACTGTACTGCTCGGTGCCCACAGAGTTTGTATCAATATGTTTCTATTTCTTAAAAGCTGAAATAGGTGAAAGACCACAAATTCTTACTGCAGCTGTGAAGTGGTTGTATTATCAGGGAATGTAAGGCTGATGACTGGATATAACTAGGGAACAGCAGTGAAGTCCTCAGTCCAGTACTCAGATGTTCACCAAAATGTTCAGCGCTGTTATGAAAGGCAGTTTGTGAACTTTTCTGGTTTCAGAGCTACTGCAACATCAAGTGCCTTTAAATGACCAGCAATTTCTAGAGTGTCCCTGGGTTAACAGCTGTGGATTAATAGGTTCATAGGCAGAGTGTCACACTGTTCCAATATCTCCTCAGCACTGGAGTCTCATGTTTACTTATGGTAGACACAATTGATCCCAGTTTTCAGGGCTCATCTTCCAATTCTGCTGCCGAGAATTGTGTATTCACTGGACCAGTGTACAAATTATCCCTCCACGCTCATTGAGATCTAAACTCCCAGAAGTGGGGACGTTGCTTTTCCTGTTCACTGGTGCATCTGAGTCCTTAGTAGAGACCCCAACAAACTCTGTGTTCAATAAGTGACAGGTGAATGAAATTGTAAACACCTCCTGCTTCTGTGCAATGAGGTCTTGTTGGCTGCTTTTTGGGTTCAGTGTTTTCCTGGAAGCAGACTGGGTTATAGCAGAGAAGTATACATTTACTAGTACAAAATATTAATAAGGGTAAAGTTAAAATTTCATGGTTTTCCCAGAAAATTACAGTATGAGATGTGATGATCTTGGTTTTATTTCCAGAATTCTGAGAGGCCCAAACCTTCCTAATGTCCAGCAGAGAGATGAGCAGCATGAGGCCTGGGAACCAGAGCAGCCTGTCCGAGTTCATCCTCCTGGGGATCCCCATCCCTCCAGGGCAGCAGGGCCTGTTCTTTGCCCTGTTCCTGGGCATGTACCTGACCACAGTGCTGGGCAACCTGCTCATCATTCTGCTCATCAGGCTTGACTCCCGCCTGCACACACCCATGTACTTCTTCCTTAGCCACTTGGCCTTCTCTGACATTTGTCTGTCATGTGTCACTGTTCCTAAGATGCTAATGAATATGTACACACAGCAACAATCCATTCCCTATGTGGGATGCATTTCTCAGTTGTATTTTTTCATAATTTTTGCTACTCTTGACAATTTCCTCCCGCGATGATGGCATATGACAGGTACATGGCCATCTGTCACCCTCTACACTATAACACCATCATGAGGGAGGAGTTGTGTGTGCTGCTGGTGGCTGCCTCATGGGTTACTGCATGTGCTCATGCACTGTTGCACACTGTCCTCTTGGTCCGACTGTCCTTCTGTGCTGACACTGTCATTACCCACTTCTTCTGTGACCTCACTGTGCTCCTGAAGGTCAGCTGCTCAGACATCTACCTCAATGAGCTAGTCGTCTTAACTGAGGGAGGAATGTTTATATTCTTGCCTCTAGCTATTATTCTGGGTTCATATATCCATATAGGGACTATTATCATGAAGGCTCCCTCCACTAAGAGACTGTTGAAAGCTTTTTCTACCTGTGGCTCCCATCTCTTTGTGGTGTCTTTATTCTATGGGACACTTGCTGTTGTTTACCTTTTCTCCTCCTCATGGGATTCCAAAGACATCATTGCTTCAGTCATGTATACGGTAGTCATCCCAATGCTGAACCCGTTCATCTATAGCCTGAGGAACAGAGATGTAAAGCAGGCCTTAGAATATTTGTCAACCAGGTTAAAGAAGTTAATATGTCAATGAGATCACATTTCCCACTTGGAGTGTTTACAATTCTTTATTCCTAAATAATTATTTTTCACTTGTTCATCATCTCTTATAAGGTATATGCAAAATGTTTTGCAACACCTGTTGCACAATTTTAACTATGAATTTTTCTTTTTCTCTGCTGAGATATGTCAGTTTTTCCTTATGTATATTTATACTGTATTATGAAGACACACTGATTAGTGTCATGATCTGCTACTGGCGTGTTCCTCCCTTTGGTTAATTGTATGTATTTTAATATTGCATTACTCCTCTACTAACTTATTAATCATACATTATTATTATTCTAATTATTTTCTGTGCTGTATGTAGAGATTACTTCTTACTTTCTGTAAAATGTTTAATATAGAAAACATGACATTGACCACTTTAGCCTTCTGTTGTACACAATTCAGTGGCATTTAGGAGACTCATCACCGATATCTCATTTTAGGACCCCTGAAGAAAACTCTACAGAGCATCAGTGAAACTAAGTAATTTGCAACTGTGAAAAAATAAAAACACATATATCTATGAATCAATATGGAGAAACATCTGGATATATTGTTAAATGGGAACAAGCATTGTGGAAATGGGTACTTAGTACTGAAGTTTTTGTAAAAATTAAGGGGAAATAAAATATACATATGTCTGCCTATTTGAACAAAAGGAAACACAGGAAGTATAAATCAGAAACTAATGATGCGGTTTACCCAGAGAAGGTGAATTAAATGGGGAGATGAGTATAATTTTTAGTGTAGTTATGAACATGTTGTCTTTTGCAACTAGAAAATAAATAGATGAGGTGGTGCATAAAGCAATATAGAATCAAGAAGACATATGAACCTAACTATATCTTAAATTAATATCATAATTAGACTAAAGAGGGAAATAATCTAAGTACCCTAGTAATTCTTGAACTCAGAATTTTGTTTATATACTTTCACAATAAAAAATAATTGAACACAAAATCTTGAGCTGTAGTTAATGTGTCATTAATAGTGGAATGAGTTCAAGATTCTGAACTACTTCCCATGTATCCAAAGATTTAGCAAACAGGTAAAAATGGAGGAGAAAGAAGTGACTCCTTACTCTGATAGGAAAGGTACTATGCACATAGAAAAGGAGAAGCTGCAAAGGATTCCCAGGTGTTAAACTAGCATTGGAAAAATCAGTTGGACCTCATAGGTTTTAAAAATGAGAAATAAATGGAAACTTATATGTTATATATATATCTATACTGTTCCCAGCCCTCATTCTTTCTGCCCAACTCCTGACCCATCTACCTGGGTAAACATAACTTTAGTCTTTGATTTCTACTTTTTACTTTTTGTGTTCCTTTTATATATATACTCCAGTTGACTTCTCTGATATTATTTAAAATCCCTGGAGACAATAAACACACCTAGAGATTATTAATTCAAAATTAATTCAATATTAATTCAAAATTAGTAACAATAGTAATGGATTATAACTCAGAATAATAAGTTAAAATCCATAGGTCCATAGTGATATAATCAAATAGAAAACAAATGAGTGGGGAATAAGTGTAACTTCCTTCTTACCAGAGACCACAATTAATAAACATACAAGAAAAGATACTATTTGTAAAATTACCATCTGGACATCACATTTGTGATAATCTTGTCATATAAGAATCATCAATGAGATCAAGATGGTGGCATAGGTAAACACAGCTCTCCTCCCTGCACATCCACGTCAAAGTTACAACTCAACTATAGAACAACCATCACTCAGAACTGTCAGGAATTGAACTGAGTGGAAGTCTGACAACTACGGAATTAAAGAAACCACATCCATTCAGACCAGTGTAAGGGAGGAGATGTGGAACAGGCTGGTGTCCCATCCACATGTGGTGGATACAAATTTGAGAGAAGTGTCTCAGGAGTGAGGAGTCCCAGTCCCACAACAGCCCCCCAACAGACCCCAGTCCAGAGTTCCAGTAACAGGAAGATGAGTCTCCATAACTTCTGTCTGCAAACATCAGTGGAAATTGAGTTGAGGGAAGAAACTTCTAGAGTCCCAAGCACTTCCTCTTCAAGAAAACACATACAGATTTAGGCTCACTCCCTCTGGGCTCCAGCACTGGGTTAGCAGTTGGAGAGGCACCAGTGGCATACTGGGAGAAACTGAAGTGTCTGGCATCAAGGTGAGAGCTGGGGAACAGTTTTCTTCGAGACAAAAAGGCAGGCAGAGCCCACTGTCCCTTTTCTGAATCCTCCCTCCACAAAGCCACAGACCTCACACCTGGGTGCCATATCTGAGACTCCATCACCTGCCTTACACTGTTTGCCTTGCCCTAGTGATCCCCTGACACTCTGTCTCACCCAACTTATGGGCCCACCCAAGCTGTTAACAGTGGCTTTTCCATATGAATGGCTGGTCTTGCCTCATGCTTCACAACTACCTAATCATCTCAAACAAGCAACAGCCAGCCCCAGTGAGCCACCATCCCCCATACCTCTTGCTAAGTGGCCCAATGCTTGGCACTAGCAGCAGCCAGACTTGATTCAGAGATCAGCTTTGCCTGAGAAGCTCCAAGCCCAGCACAGGTAGGAGTCATCTCAAATTGCATTATACCTCATGCAAGGTAGCTTCAGGCAGAACACAGGAGGTGGCTAAGCTTGTCCTGCACCACATGAGAAACCTCAGAGCCTATGCATCCAGTGGACAGCTACAGACCATGTCAGAGCACCTTCTCCTTGCTCCTGCACAGCTGATTCTCCCCAGAGGTTGGAGGTTGGTGCTAGGTGGTCACAGCCAATCCTTGCAGGTGACTGGCCTGCAGAAATCATTCCCATTAATCTGCCAGGAGCAACCAAGGCTCAACTACGAGAGAGTATACTTGGCCCACATAAATTGGACACCTCAAGTACCCAGCTTGGGTGACAGGGAAAGCTGTGCTACTGGACCCTACAGGACACTTATACCACTAAGCTACTCTGCTAATACAGGGAGTCATAGCAGCTCTACCTAATACACAGAAAGAAACCCAGGAAGGCTTCCAAAATGAGTAGACAAAGAAACAAGGCCCAAATCAAAGAACAGAATAAAACTCCAGAGAAAAAAAACTAAACAAAATGGAGATAATCACTCTGTCAGATGCAGAGTACAAAATACTGGTTATAAGGCTGCTCAAGGAACTTAGTAAAGACTTCAGAGAATAAAAAAGATCCAGTCAGAAAGATAAGATACACTAAATGAAATCAAGAAGAATTTCGAGGGAAACAACAGCAGAGTGGATGAAGCTGAGAATCAAATCAGTGACTGGGAACTTATGAGAATAAAAAACAACAAGATGAAAAAGGAATAAAAAAATAAACCAAGGATACTTTAAAGAGCCTTTGCATCAAACTCAAATGTTTCACATTCACATGTGGGGGCCCAGCAAGCAAAGAGAAAAAATAAGAAATTAAAATTTTATTTGGAAAAAATAATGAAAAAGAACTTTCATTATTTGGTGAAGGAAATAGACATGCCAGTCCAAAAACCACAGAGTCCCAAACATGATGGACACAAAGAGGCCTACTCGAAGACACATCATCATTAAAATGCTAAAGGTTAAACATAAAGGGAGCATCTTAAAAGTAGCAAGAGAAAAGCAGGCAGTTACCTCCAAAGGAGTTCCCATAAGATTGTCAACTGATTTCTCTAAAGAAACTTTACAGGCTAGCAGGAATTGGTAAGAAATACTCAAAGTCAATAAAAGCAGGGTCCTACAGTCAACATTGCCCTACCCAGCAAGGCTATCATGTAGAATCAGAAGGCAGATAAACAGCTTCCCAGACAGAAAAAACTGAAGGAGTTCATCACTGAGCCATTAGTATATGAAATGTTGAAAAGACTTATTTATAAAAAGAAGAAGAGAAAAACTATGAATAAATTAAATGGCAATAAATAAATATCTATCAACAATTGAATATGAAAAACAAACTAGGCAAAGAAAAAGAGGAGAGACAGAATAATGGATATGGAGACTGTGTTCATGATTGCCAGATGGGAGGGAAGTGTGGGGGAAATGGGTCAAGAGGTGAGAAAATTAAGAAGTACAACCAGGTAGTTACAGAATAGCCATGGGGATGTAAAGTACAGTAAAAGACATGGAGCAGCCAAATAATTTATATGCATGACCCATGGATGTGAACAACATTGTGGGGATTGCCCGAGGGAGTGAGGTGTGCTGGGTGGAGGGGGTAAAATTGGCACAACTTTAACAGCATAATCAAAAATATAATTTAGAAAGAAGAAAAGTAAAAAAGAGAATCACCAATAGATGTTAAACATTGTGGCTGAAGTGCTAATAAGAAATAAGTTATGTTTATATATCATCAAACTATCTACTCAAATGATACCTATTGACAACTGGGTTAAAGTATTAAGTATAAAACACTAGTAACTTTATAAAAGAACCTGGCACATACCACCACGGTATATTGATCAAGGATTCAAACACTAGCAAATGGGAAAATTAATGCCATATATCTTCTTATAATATGCATTGTGGAATACCTGGTGAAAATCTAAGCCTGAAACATACATACATTAATACCTGCATGCACATAGAAGGTAAACACAGAAAAACATTAAACATTGGGGAGTCAGGGTATGGCCTTTCCAGGAATCCTTGAAATCAGTTTTATAACATTTCTGTATCTTTAAAATCATTTCCTAATTAAAAGTTGAAAAGTCCTTTGTCCCAGCTGGCACATGCCCAAGAAGAAAGGAGTCCAGGCATCACTGAAATCAGGGACATTGTCCCCTAGGACTCTAGTCTCTCTGGCTCTTGGATACCCAGCTCCCCAAAGGGCAGGCAGAATTAGCCAGAAGCCTGGGGACTGGGTGTCAGTCTCTCATTAGTAGGGGTTGTCTGTTGAGTCTTTTCTCTGGAGCTGCTTAAAGAAAATGAAAGTGCTTAGAAGTGCCAAGCCCCAGATATTTCTTCTATCTGTGTCGATGTTAGGACTTCTGAGGAAAACCTGAGGAGCCTGGCAACAGTCTGGAGCAGAAGGTGTCTCAACTCACCAAAGATGAGCACAGGTCAGAGAGGCTGGATGTCTGCACAGATGGACAGATCTGCCTGTGTGATGGTTGATTCATGATGAGAGTCTTAAGTTCATGACTATGAGTCTGTCTCTGCGAGTCTTCAGGTACTGTATATGCTTATGTACATTCTGATTGATAGTTGCATTTGTGTGCACACGTGTGTGCACAGGTATCTGACTCACAGCCTGATTCTCCCTGAGGCAGACCTAACTTGGCCACATTTTATCCTATGGACACCAAGTTATCAGCCTCTTGCTTGTGATTAGAAACTTGTGATTCATGGAAGTTCTTCCATGACAGCTGAGCATCTGAGGTGAAGTTGTAGGCTCTGGTGCTGGACAAGAAGATGCCTGACCTCAGAGGAGACAACATCAGGTCAGAGAAGGGTCATGTCTCTGCTCAGCAGCATGTGCTGGTGAATGTGTGAGCTGTGTCTGTAGGTGACACGCTGGTGTGTGAGAACAGGAGGGTGTCGTGTTTGGTTTTCTCTGTATATTGGCCTATTGTGTGACCATGTGCATGGCATTGTGGTTTACCATGTGCACACCATGTGGTGGTGGTTTAATGTGTGCACCTGTGACTGAATAGGCTAACCTGCCCCAGGCTGAAGGCCTTCCCCCAGGAAGGGGATGGGTCAGAAGGGCAGAAGCATGCCCTCATGTTTAATAGGAGGGTGTGTGCTGCTTGTGTGGTGAGTGTGTGCCTGGGTGTGCAAATGTGCTGTTCATACGTGTTTCCTGCGAGATTTTTTGTTTGTAGCCTTCTGTGGTTTTGGTGATTTATGTGTAGTGTTAGTGTGTATGTGGTGAGCTGTTTACTGGGTGTGTCATGAGTCAGATATGTTGATGTGCATTGTGAGTGTGTTTGCAGGTGATTGGTCCATCAATGTGTGTTGTGTATGTCTCATTTGTATGTTTCTGATGATCTCTCTGTATGTTTATAGCTCTCCTTCCCTTAGGGTGGCAACTTGGTAACAGGTAAGTAATATTCACAAATCAGCACTGTATGTGTGATGTGCATCGACAACCTCAATTTTTCGTAAGTGTCCTAATTCTGGGGCACCATTAGCTGAGAGAACCCAACTCCAAATGTCCTGTGTGTAGAAACAGACCTGCTGTCATATTCATGTACCTGAGTGTGACTGAATTGCAAATCAAAATTTGTAACTCTTTATTTTTACTGAACATCCCAGGCAAAAGAAAAGCCAGACATCCTGCTGTGAGAATTTATTGGGCAGAATGACCTTCAAATCGCAGTGACCATGGAAAGTTATTTAAATCCTTGGCCTCAGTTTACATCTATAAAATGGAAAGAATTACACTTCCTTCTGAATGTTACAGAGGCCTGCAGTAATTGCTTATTGTATAAAAATTTGTATGTACTGGAGAATTTTTTCTCACTTGCAATGTATATAAATGTGAAGGAACAAAATTAGTAAGAAGACTGAGAAAATTTTGACCAATGTGAATCCTTACAGCTCTAAAATAATATATCGTCCTGGGTTCCACAGCCAAAATGCGTAGTTTCCATGTGAAGTGAGTTATAGCATTGGTGCTGATTAGATGGATGTATTATCCTGAACGCCATGAAGCAGCTAATACTTGGTAATTATAATGCATAGAAAATAACACACATATGTCATTTATATATTATATATCACATGTAATATAAACACAGATACACACAACTACGTACCAGTCTGCCCGTCACTGTACTGCTCGGTGCCCCCAGAGTTTGTATCAATATGTTTCTATTTCTTAAAAGCTGAAATAGGTGAAAGACCACAAATTCTTACTGCAGCTGTGAAGTGGTTGTATTATCTGGGAATGTATGTTTGATGAGTGGATATAAGTAGGGAACAGCAGTGAAGTCCTCAGTCCAGTACTCAAATATTCACCAAAATGTTCAGCACTTTTATGAAAGGCAGTTTGTGGACTTTTCTGGTTTCAGAGCTATTGTGGCATCAAGTGGCTTTAAAAGGTCACCAGTTCCAAGACTGTCCCTGAGGTTACAGCTGTAGGTGCACGGGACTTGGCCAGTTCACAGGCATTGTTCCTACATCTCCTCAGCACTGGAGTCTCATATTTACTTAAGGCAGACAGACTTGATCCCAGTTTTCAGGGCTTATCTTCCATCTCTGCTGCAGTGAATTCTGTATTCACTGGACTAGTGTACAAATTGTCCCTCCATGTTCCTTGAGCTGTAAACTCTAAGAAATGAGGACCTTGCTTTTCTTGATGACTGTAGCATCTGAGTCCTGTTTAGAGGTACCAATACAGACTCTGTGTTCACTAAGTAATGGCTAAATGAAATGGTAAACACCTCCTGCTTCTGTGCAATGTGGTCTTGTTGGCTTCTTTTTGGGTTCAGTGTTTTCATGGAACCAGATGGGTTATAGCAGAGATGCATACATTTACTAGTACAAAAATTAATAAGGTTATAGAGAAAATTTCATCATTTTTCCAGAAAATTACAATATGAGATGTGATGGTCCTGTTTTTATTTCCAGGATTCTGAGAGTCCCAAACCTTCCTCATGTCCAGCAGAGAGATGAGCAGCATGAGACCTGGGAACCAAAGCAGTGTGTCCGAGTTCCTCCTCCTGGGGTTGCCCATCAGGCCAGAGTACCAGGGAGTGTTCTTTGCTCTGTTCCTGGGCATGTACCTGACCACAGTGCTGGGCAACCTGCTCATCATCCTTCTCATAAGGCTGGACTACCGTCTGCACACACCTATGTACTTCTTCCTCAGGCACTTGGCCTTCTCTGACATTTCTCTGTCATCTGTCACTGTTCCTAAGATGCTAATGAATATGTACACACAGCAACCATCCATTCCCTATGTGGGATGCATTTGCCAGTTGTATTTTTTCATACTTTTTGGTGGTCTTGACAATTTACTTCTGGCAGTCATGGCATATGACAGGTACGTGGCCATCCGTCACCCACTATACTACACCACCATCATGAGGGAGGGGCTGTGTGCACTGTTGGTGGCTGGATCCTGGATCATCTCCTCTGGCAGTGCCCTCTTGCACACCATGCTCTTGGTCCAACTGTCCTTCTGTGCCAACAATGTCATCACCCACTTCTTCTGTGACCTCACTGTGCTCCTGAAGCTCAGCTGCTCAGACATCTCCCTCAATGAGCTGGTCCTCCTTCTCCAGGGGGGAGTGTTTTCTGTCCTGCCTTTGGCTATTATTTTTGGGTCATATATTCATATAGGAACCATCATCCTGAAGGCTCCCTCCACTAAGAAACTCTTGAAAGCCTTTTCTACCTGTGGCTCCCATTTTTTTGTGGTGTCTTTATTCTATGGGACACTTGTAGGTGTTTACTTATTGTCCTCATCATGGGATTCTAAACACATAATTGCTTCAGTCATGTATTCAATAGTTACCCCCATGCTGAACCCCTTCATCTACACCCTGAGGAACAGAGATATAAAGCAGGCCTTAGAATGTTTGTCAATTGGGTTAAAGAAGTTAATATGTCAGTGAGGTCACATTTGCTACTTGGATTGTTTATAGTTCTGTATTCCTAAATAATATTTTTCACTTGTTCTTCATCTTTTATAAGGTATCTAAAAATCTTCTGCAAACTGTTGTACAATTTTAACTTTGAATTTGTCTTTTTCTCCACTGAGATATGTCAGTTTTTCCTTATGTCTTTTTACACTGTTCTATAAAGACATACCGATTTAGTGTCATGATCTGCTACTAATGAAGTAACTTTTTTTAAACTGAATTTATGCTGGCTTTTGTCACTTTCAGGTTCATTGTGTACATGTCTTCCCAACTCACATTCAATGACATCATGTTGGCTGACTGCAATACCCATGATCAGAATAATTTTACTATGAAAATTCACATGTGCTACAAAGCAAAACTTTTAGTCAAAGAGAGACAGACTTTTTAAAAATGCACTTAAAGCATACTACTTCATATAAAATTAGAAGATATTTTTAGCAATGCATCCTGTATTAATACCTCATCTATTTCTCTTATTAATATTGATACTTTATATCTGTAGACATAGAGGTATATAATATATAGATATAGATATAGGTATTATATAGTATATCTTATAAAGATGCACCTTTTCTCATGTGCAGTTGTACATAATATTTTTTCCATTACTTTAGACTTTTCTGTCACCAAATTGTCAGTGAGGTGTTCTTTTGTCAATGGTGTAAGTAAACTTAGATTTTGTTCTTTTTATGTACAGCAACAATTGTTATTTCTGGAGCTATTTCTCTATTGACACCTAAAGTAATCATAATGTATTTGAATTTATATTTTCTCTACAACTTTCGCATACACCTGTTTCACATTCTCTCTTGTGTTGCTCCCTTTTGATTAATTACCTGTATTTTGATATTCTGTTACCAATCTACTAACTTATTAATCATACATTGTTATTATTTTATAATTGTTTTCTGTGCTGTATGCAGATATTACTTCTTACATCCCTTTTAATTTTTAAGTAAAGTTTAATACACAAAACACGACATTGACCACTTTAGCCTTCTATTATACACAATTCAGTGGCATTCAGGAGACTCATCACCAATATCTCATTTTAGGACCCCTGAAGAAACCTCTAAAGAGCATCAATGCAACTGAGTAATTTGCAACTGTGAAAAAATAAAAACACAGATATCTAGGAATCAATATGGAGAAACATCTGGATATATTGTTAAATGGAAACAAGCAATGTGGCAAATGGCACTCAGAACAAAGAAATTTTTGTAAAAATTAAGAAGAAATAAAATATACATTTGTTTGTGCACTTGAGCAAAAAGTAACACAGGAAGTATAAATCAGAAACTAATGATGTGTTTGACCCAGAGAAAGTGGACAGAAGTGATGAGAAATGAGTATAATCATTAGTGTGGTTATGAGCATATTGTGTTTTGCAAGTAGAAAATAAATAGAAGAGGTGGTTCATGAAGCAAAATAGAATGAAGAAGACAAATGAACCTAACTGTATGTTAAATTATTACTATAATAGAGTACAATGAAAATAGTGTAATTACCTTAATAATTTCTGAATCCAGAAATTTGTCTCTATACTTTCACAATAAAACAAAAACCAAGAAAATGGAAATTAAATTTTAAGCTGTAGTTAGTGTGTCATTAATAGTTTCATGTATGAGTTCAAGATTTTGAACTACTTCCCATCTATCGAAACATTCAGCAAATAAGTCAATACTGAGGATACCTCTGACATCTGTTTCTCACCTGTGACTGTCCCTAAAATGGTCATGACCATGCAGACTAATCACTTCTTCATTTCCTACCCAATGTTTATTTCTTAGTTGTACTTTTATTTATTTTTTGGTTGCCTTGATAATTATCTTTTGGCAGTGATGGCATATGACAGGTATGTGGCCATCTGTCACCCTCTACACTATACCAGTATCATGAGCAAGAGGCTGTGTGCACTGTTGGTGGCTGGTTCCTGGATTACCTCCTGTGGCAGTGCCGTGTGGCACACCCCTCCTTGCCCAGGTGTCCTTCTGTGCTGACAACATCATTCCCCACTTTTTCTGTCATCTCTCTATTCCACTCAAGCTGTCCTGTGAGCTGGTCATATTCACTCTAGGGGCTATAACTGTCATTTTTCCATTGAGTGGCAACCTGGTTTGTTATGGCCACATTGGAGCCTTTATCTTCAGGGTACTTCTACCAAAGAGACTGCAAAGTCTTGTCCACATGTGGCACCCACCTGGCTGTGGTGTCTCTCTTCTATGGGACAATTTCGGTTCTGTACTTTTCCTCCTCATGAAGCAACTCCACTGACAAGGAGATGGTTGTACCTCTGATGTACACAGTAGTCACCCCCATGTTAAACCCCTTCATCTACAACCTGAGAAACAGAGACATGAAGTTGGCTCTGCGACTATTTTTAGAAAAAGGATCCTTTTTGCCAAGTTAGAATCACCTAATTGTGTTCTTATTTCACACCGTGAACCTTGTAATTCATCCTGAAAAATGGCCTGTTGACCACCCGTGTCTCTAACATCCTCCCAACTGTCCTTATTGGATCTGCTCCCTTTTACTTTACTCATATTTGTTGTCCTTTTATTCTTCCATGATCCAAAATATGGCATTTCCCACAACACACATGCAACTTGTAGTCTTCAAACTCTTTATTAGTCAGGCATGGCCTGATCACCCTAAATAGCTCACACTGTTGTGTTCTGTTGCTGAGAAGAGGAAGGACGGGCTGAGGTCACAAAGCACAGCAACCACCTTTCTCCAAAAGCAAATGGCACCTGCATCTTATGCTTCCTTTGAGAAGATAAAACCACTCTAGCTTTAGGCTAAGATTACAAGTATGAAATGTGGCTGAGTTTCTGACTGCTAGGTGGCAGAGGGCAGCATTCCCAAGTGTGTCACAGTACCTCACTTTGTCTATAGTGAAGTGAACAATGGCCCTTCAAGCAAAGCCAGTTAAAATTTTGTTCAATATTGTTTTGATAGGTAAGAAAAAACCCTCCTCAGGAAAAGGTAATATAACTTTAATCATAACTCACTTTCTGTGTGTTGAAGAAAATGAGATATAAATCACTTATTTCCCCTTTTAGGACCCCTGAAGGAAATAGAGCATCAATGAACTGAGTAATTTGCAACTGTGAAAAACTAAAAACATAGATATTTATGAATCAATATGGAAAACCATCTGGATATATTGTTAAATGGGTACAAGCAATGTGGCAAATGGAACTCAGAGCAAGGAATTTTTGTAAAAATTAAGAAAAAATAAAATATACATATTTCTGCTCACTTGAGCAAAAAATTACAGATGAAGTATAAATTAGAAACTAGTGAGGTGGTTCACCCAGAGAAAGTGGACAATGGTGATGCAGAGGAATAAATCATTAGTGTGGTTATGACCCTTGGAAAATAAATAGAAGAGGTGGTGCATGAAGCAAAATAGAAAGAAGAAGACAAAAGAACCTAACTACATCTTTAATTATTACTATAATTAGACTAAAGAGGGAAATAATCTAAGTACCCTAGTAATTCTTGAACCCAGAATTTTGTTTATATACTTTCACAATAAAAAATAACTGAACACTAAATCTTAAGCTGTAGTTAATTGTCATTAACAGTGGAATGAGTTCAAGATTCTGAACTACTTCTCATGTATCCAAAGATTTAGCAAACAGGTAAACACGGAGGAGAAAGAAGTGACTCCTTACTCTGATAGGAAAGGTACTATGCACATAGAAAAGGAGAAGCTGCAAAGGACTCCCAGGTGTTAAACTAGAATTGGAAAAATCAGTTGTATGTCATAGGTTTTTTTTAAATTTTTTAATTTTCCCCCCCGGGATAAATAAATGGAAACATATGTTATATATATATCTATACTGTTCCCAGCCCTCATTCTTTCTGCCCAACTCCTGACACATATAAATGGGTAAACATAACTTTAGTCTTTTATTTCTACTTTTTACTTCTTGTGTTCCTTTTATATATATACTCCAGTTGACTTCTCTGATATTATTTAGAATCCTTGGAGACAATAAACACACCTAGAGATTCAAAATGAATAACAATAGTAATGGATTATAACTCAGAGAATAATAGGTTAAAATCCATGGGGTCCATAGTGATATAATCAAATAGAAAACAAATGAGTGGGGAATAAGTGTAACTTCCTTCTTATCAGAGACCACAATTAATAAACATACAAGAAAAGATACTATTTGTAAAATTACCATCTGGCCATCACATTTGTGATAATCTTCTCATTTAAGAATCATCAATGAGATCAAGATGGTGGCATAGGTAAACACAGCTCTCCTCCTTGCACAGACACGTCAAAGTTACAACTAAACTATAGAACAACCATCACTCAGAACTGTAAGGAATTGAGTTGAGTGAAAGTCCCACAACTACAGAATTAAAGAAACCACACTGATTCAGACCAGTGTAAGGAGAGAAGATATGGAACAGGCTGGTACCACATCCACATGTGGTGGATAAAAATTTGAGAGGAATGTCTCAGGAGCGAGGAGTCCCAGACCCCCAACAACCCCCAGCCCAGAGTTCCAGTGCTAGGAAGACATCTCTCCATAACTTCTGTTTGCAAACATCAGTGGAGAACGAGTTGAGGGAAGAAACTTCTAGAGTCCCAAGCACTTCCTCTTCAAGAAAACACATACAGATTTAGGCTCACTCCCTCTGGGCTCCAGCACCATAAGGTTAGCAGTTGGAGAGGCACCAGTGGCATACTGAGAGAAACTGAAGTGTCTGGCATCAAGGTGAGAGCTGGGGAACAGTTTTCTTCCAGACAAAAAGGCAGGCAGAGCCCACTGTCCCTTTTCTGAATCCTCCCTCCACAAAGCCACAGACTTCACACCTGGGTGCCATATCTGAGACTCCATCACCTGCCCTACACTGTTTGCCCTGTCCTAGAGATCCCCTGATACTGTCTCACCCAACTTATGGGCCACCCAAGCTGTTAACAGTGGCTTTTCCATATGAAT